TCACATTTCTTAGATTCGTACTGGTGTATGTTTGAACTAAACATGGCACGCATGGAGGCCATTTATTCCCGAAACGGTGAAATTGTTTTATTTTTGGTTGCATTAGAGAAAGGTGTCATGAAAAACTTACCATTATCATTCATGGATCTGATTGAGTCAAAATCTTACTTAGAGTTTCCAGAGGGTGGAGACGAAAATGAAGTCACAGCCTTTCGATCCAAGCTTGGAGATACACTCAGATCTTGTGACAATCAGTTTAGATCTTTATAAGCATGCAGAAACAAGTTGTATAATATTGTAATACTGTAGACGTACTTTTTTCCGCGTTAGATTAATTTCCGCTATATGTACGCGGTCACAATTTTTCCGCGGAAATTTGTCACAGTGTACTAAAGATTCATTAAGAACATATAATGACAATCCAAGATATCCGCGTTATTTTATACTCGTGGATTGAGCAGAAATTCTGATTCCGCGGAATTATGACCCCGAGGAATAAAGTATTTACAGTATTAAAGGGCCTACTACTTTACCATATAAGATGTATGGAGTGGATTTCACCTTATTGTTATATTATAGTACTTTACCATGTTGTATGTATGGAGGTTTGATTGTAGAATGTTTCCTTTTTTCATAGGCTTATGGATTTTAATATAGTGAATTAGTGGTCTGTAGAGTAGTATCTAGCTGTAATTTGATTAAAAATGATGTTATGTTTATTTTCATTTGACAATCTGAATGTTTACTTATATTATTGATGCAATACACATTGCACTTCGACGTTGTCATGTAAACAAATGTTGTGACTGTGTTACTAGGTAGACGATCTAGTGACATATTGTTGAATAGCCAGTAAGAGACAGTGATGCTAAGATTTTATATCAGGTTGTCAAAATTATCTCCCATATTACGACTGGAATTTACTTACTGTTTTGGTATTATAACATATGTTGTACCTTACTTGCCTGCCATCTTTCTTACGCAGGAAATGGTCATGTGACATACATATTATCGTTTTACAATTGATCAGACACTGTCTGTGTTATCAAGTACTTATAACTGGGTACAGTCCACTAATTGTTTTCCCATAGGCGGCAATGTTAACGTTTCTTCACATAGCAATGTCCCTAATTTTCGTTCAGCAGTGAGTGACCCCTCAAATCAAAGCACATCAAGTTGTCTTTCCTTGGTTAAAATCTCGAGGTGGCATGTCAGATTCGTTTTCCGGCAAAATGCGTGTGTCTGTGTTAACCTCTGAAAATGAAAGTGAAAGTAGGGGAATTCCAGACTTCTCACTGGTGTTTTAATACATAAAATAATTCTGCTGATCTTATTGATAAATTACATCTGCCAAGCTTTTTTGCAAGGGAACATACTCCTTATCAACAAGATTGAGGCTCAGTTTAATACATTATCACAGTTTTTTTTATTCAGGTCTGCAAATTAAGGAACTTGTAATTTTTTTCTGCACTACTTTCTTCCCCTACCGATTCTAAAAATAATTAGAGGTATGTACCCAACTGCATGATACTTGAATGTTACTTTCTTACCGAATTATGATTTAATATTGTTTAATTTATTTGATTAAACGTTTTGGAACTTGAATGTGTAGCATAAGAGTACGACTAAATAAATGTGTACGTATCATATATGACGCCGTGGATTCTGTTTCCGTTTTATTACAGCTTGTTAGTTGAACTTATTTTATTGTGCAAATGAATTAAAATTGAAAGCTTTTGTCTTACATGTAGAAAGGACATTTATCGTCACATTATTTTTCTTTGTATTATATAAAATATACGTAAAGTAGTTATGAGGGGCTCAATAAAGGACAATTTTTTCAGTTTGTTTTAATCACGTGACTATTTTGGAAGCATATATATGAGGACTCAGTATCAATTTCATCAACATATTACGACATCAACATCACTGACTAATAATACTCTTAATGCAATAGCTACTTAGGTATGATAAAAAGAATGTAAATTTCAGTACAAAGTAGCATAGAACTCACCACCACAATCCACTTGATTAGGCCAGAAATGTCAAATTTATTACATACTTGTGTGGAGAAAATAGTGTGCAGATTATTCATGAGTTTGCTACTGCGTGATTTACTTCTCATTAAATATTCAGAAGTTCCTGCACAATCTCGATATGCCGGGAGGTCACTCTTTGGTATTTGTAGCGTTTGTTTACCCCGCGAATTTGAACATATAACATATACGGACTATGATAGGCTTTATTTTACCTATTCAAAACGGTATGCATATAAAGTTCTTGACTTTAAGTACTTTTCTTTGTATGTCTTCGTCCTTTTCATACACCAGACAAGACCTTGTTGAATACCTTCCGCATTTTCTCGAAGATCTAGGCCTATATCATGTACGTATATATAACAATCATGTTTGTCGGCACTGCCGCAAAGTACATCATATAAGTAAGATTGAAAAAAATGTCCATTGTTAAGTTTCAATCATTTCTGATAAACATGTAGATCTCCCCTCCTCCGTATAATAAGAAACCATTTAACCCCCCTCCCCACCCACACACACACACACACACGCAGACATAATAAAAAAAATATACATCTACAGCAGAATGAAGTTTCACATATGGGTTTTCCTCAGTGGCTCTCCAAAATCTTCTTTTATTTAAGAGTTCTCGTTAGTTTATAAATAACTCAGATATAAAAACCAAGTGAGGGTTATTTACACCGGTGAAGGAGAAACTTCAAGAGTACTGTGCAACAATATATTCGAGAAGAGGTGTAAATTAGATGTGGATACTTAAAAATTTCAAGGAACTTTTGGAAAATTTGAAATCACAAGATTTTACCAAAATCAACAGCTTAAAAACTTATGACTTTTCAACTTTATGTACAACCATTCCCCAAGATAAATTAATGTCCAGACTTTCTGACATTGTGGACAGCTGCTTTTTCAATAAAAATGGAACTCGTAAATTTACTTACCTTGTCATTGGTCATTTACAAAATTATTTTGTGAAAAAGCACTCTGATTGTACACACAAGTACTCTTATTGACATTAAAAAGATGCTCAAGTTTCTGATTGACAATATCTGTGTGTTTTTGGAGACCTGGTCTTCCAACAATCTATCGGAATTCCCATGGGTACCAATTGCACCCCGTTATTAGCAGACATATTTTTGTATTCATATGAAGCAAGATTTGTTCAAAATCTTTTAGGTGAAATGAGGAAAACACTTGCTGTGGACTTCAACTCGACATTTAGATATATCGACGACGTATTGTCAATTAACAATGAATATTTCCATTCTTATGTCGACACGATATATCCCGGTGAGCTTGAGATAAAAGATACCACAGAGTCTGACACATCTGTTTCATATTTGGATATTTCATTACAAACAGACTTTATTGGTAACAAAGCTTTATGATAAACGTGATGACATTAACTTTTCAATATACATACGGGGTTTATATCTCACGTTGATTTGATACGCCAGAGGATGCTCTACGTAAAAATAATTTCTAACTTTCTAAGTTATTGACAAACAAGTTGATGAAACAGGAAAATCAACAGCCTCGTTTAAAGTCATCATTTCGTAAGTTCTATGGTCGATACAATGACCTTGTCAGCAAATACAATTTATCATTATGTCAAATGCTGACAGACTTTTCTCATACTATTTGTAAGACCATCATTTACACACTGAATTGTCGACGGTTTTTTTTTGCTATTTCCCGATCGTGACAAGGAGCAGACGGCGGGTGTGACCGGTCGGCTGGGGATGCTCACTCCTCCATGGCACCTGATCCCAACTCTGAAGTTTTAGAGGTCCGTGTTTGCTCTGCTCTTATTTTGTAATGTTAAATGGACTTTTGAGCACGAATGCTGTTCGTTATCTCCACATATTTCATTCAAACTGTCTGTTCCTTTCTTAACCTTCTGTAGTTAGAGAAAACGTCTTTACTGATCTGATATGTCTGGACGCACTCTATATGATCCTTTAGATAAATTGTATATCTATAGATATATCTAGTGTAATTTCCCAATATACTATATGTACTTAAAATTTTCAAAGTCTACGAAACTGCGAATTTAGGTCATTGCTGACAAGAATCGGATAGATGTTGTTTTTATTAGAGATTATCCTGGTGTGATTTGAATAAAATGATTTTAAACGTGTAGTACATCACTGCTTGTAACAGAAATTAAGTGTCTACGAAAATTGCAAAATATTATGTAAAAATCGTGTTCTAAATGTCAGCCTTAGTACGTTCCTAAATATTTTGGTTCCAGAGCGACAGGATCGGTTATCCTTCAAAATGTGTGTTTATTTTTGATCTTCATTTTCATAAAATATTGTATATATAAACAACCTAAAATAATGTTTTCAAAAGAAATAAATTAAAAGACAAATTAATTTTAAAGCTTTCTTGGGAACTATTTTATTCATGTCGAAGAATCTCATACCAGAAATGCCTACAAATTTGCTCTTTTTAATTTCAAAGTGGATTTTTACTATCTCCTTATACTAACTAATCGTTTTGCACAACTATTTAAGTTATCGGACAAATCGGACAAATAGTAAAGACAGTTTAATGATACTTTCACAGAATCTTTATTGTGCCTTTGTGCACCTCCTATTTTATGTTCTGGTCGGTCAGGTATCTGAAGTTTCCCATAGCCAAAAATGGACTTTGCCATTATGTACTAATATAAGGTGGGACGGGGGAATCATCTAGTTTATTTTGCAGTTATGAATTACAATGAATAAAATTTATTTTAAAAAGAAATCAACTTCATATCCATGCAAATAAATGCCAGCTTAAGGAAAATATGTAGTTTTTATTATGACGGAAAATACCGGTATTTAGCAGTAGCAATTAAAACCATCGGTATTTCCCTCCAACTTTGATAACCACCGAGGAAATGCTCAAACAATCTCCTCTGATTGCCACTATGATGTCATGATATATTTAATTATATCTCTGTCATAGTCTTACAATTCATTACTCCAGATATTTAATGAATCGGATTTCTCCAGTGGTCCTATCTCCAATAACAAGATTGTGGTCAATATCAATACTTATTCCCCCATTGCACGGATATTCTATATATCGAACAAAGTTACCATCACAATCTATAATATGGACCACGTTACTTGAACTGTCAGTTATCAGTATTTGATTATTGACATCAGTTGCGATATTAGATGGTAAAAATAGTGTGTTTTTCATATGATTGCAGTTACCCTGGAATTTGAACCGTAAACACCCAGATGTATCGACCGCAGTGACGGACTTGCAACCAAAGGCAGCCACACAAATATCACCGTTGCCATTTTCAGTGAGATTAAGCATACCCCCCATTTTAGTACCAAACAAAGGTTGTCCCGTACTGTCATACTGAATCTCCAGAATCTGTTTTGTCCCTGTGTATCGTACCACTTTACTCTGTACGCCATCTTTAGTGTGCATGCTCAGTAGTAGATCTCCATTCACAGTATAATGTAGGTCTCTTGCAAGCCAGTCAGTTAATTCAAGAAGTATCTCAACCTTGTTAATCCTGTAAATGTACACATGTCTATCGGACAAACCAATTAAAAAAACTGGTTCCTGGTTTGAGTTTACAGTCATGGCTGAGACAACGTAGGAAGTCTTTACTGTTTCCAACAGAGATCCATTTCTGTCTATAAGTCTAAGTGTTTCATCTCGTCCTCTTATCCAGATCAAGTTTATCCCCACACAATTTACTTTCCATAACTCTTCCAAATAAAAGCTTCCTCTGTAAGGAGTCTGAATCGTGGACAGTACCTTTACGTCATGCATCAGTTTTAGGACACCATCAGGATTAATTTGAACATGACTGCTCGGAGTTTCCTCGTACATATAAGTCTTGCATGCAGGAAAAACAGCACCATCTTCTTTTCTTCTCTTTTTTGGAGAGCATCCAACAACTTCATACAACTCTATTTTATCAGTCATGTGTATTGTGTATTAATGTAATACAGGGCAGATATATCACCCGCGGAGAATATTACAGGGAAGTTCCAACAGGAAAAGAACATAACCTAAAGTAAATCATGTCCTGTTCTTGAGCAATAGGCTTTGGTTGTCTGAAAAAAAAAATCTTCATTATATTATTAGCATCAAGTCTTCATATTAGTAAATCATTAGCTATAGTTACATGTAGCAAATCGAATACATCATGTAATAAAGGAGGAATGTATCGAAGAATCATGGAATTTCATGACTTTGCATCGATGATTAATTGGAACAAAAGAAGCATGAAATATATGGAGATAACGTACAGTTTCAAGCTCAAAAGTCCATTAAACAATAGGGGCAGAGCAAACACGGACCTCCAAACATCAGAGGTGGGATCAGGTGTCATGGAGGAGTGAGCATCCCCTGCCGACCGGTCAAACCCGCCGTGTGCTCCATTTGAATGAAAACAAAAAAAAAATACCTTCATACGATTTTTCTTTTCCTTTATTGGTAATAAACAATGGTTTACAATACTTATTGTAATATTCATTAGCTCATCTACTGAAAAGCTCAAATGAGCTTTTCTGATTGTCCTTGTCCGGCGTTCATATCTTTTTTTGCACTGTTTGTCCGTGTGTCTTTCTGTCTAACTTTACACATTTTCGACTCCTTTTACAATACCACTGGGCCAATTTCCATTTACCTTGGCACGGACAATTCTTGGATTCAAGGTATGAAAGGCAATTAATTTTACTCAAATAAAAGCCAATATTCCTTTTTCAACGGGAGGGAGTCAAGGCCAAATAAGTAGTTATCTCAAATCTTTTTCTCAACAAATTCTGGGCCAGAAAAATATTTTGGATCTTTTCCTCATACTTGTATATGGAAAAGGAAAACATTTTAAAGAACAATCCATTAATAATTCGTATACTAGTATTTTAAAATATGAAAGCATTTTCAGGAAGTGCAGATTCAGGTTCGTTTAAATTAAGGATCTGGTGGGATCGAATACGATAAAAACTTATAAAAATAATATAGGCTATATGCATGCTATACATGCAAAGAGAAAATACATGTACCATCTCAATCAAGAAACAGTGGGTCGTGATTATTATATGTACAGTGTTGTACAGATTGATTCATATTTGTTCACATATAAAATTATTTGATATTGGCACCCCTGCGGCATGAACAGGGCTACATGTAAAATAGAGGATACAAGTAATTATTTACATAAGAATACAAAACAACTTCGAGAAAATTAAATTGAGATCCAGTGTTGATTCACAGAAATATACATGTACGCACACATTCCCAAGTTGTCTGGATCCAATTTTCCCCACAAATTACATGAATTATGTGGGTTTAAGGTACTGCGGTTTAAATCAGGGGTCAAAATAATTTTACATCATTAATCATTTGTATGTATACACCGGGGGAATTTAAAAAAAAAAAATCTTTTCAAAGATTCTTTTCAAGCATGGCAAGGCATGATCATGTTGTGTGGATTCGAGTTTGGTTTAGTCATGACCCGTAATTGGACTAGGCCACAGGTACTTGTGGACAGGACCCCCCCCCCCCCATTAAACCCCGATGTTTGTTGGAATTTTTTTTTTTCACAAATTATATTTATTACACTTATTCATCATTTCTACCAAAGGGAAAAATCGCGAAAACCCCAAAATAATCGTTCCACGCAAAAATACACCACTATACATTATAAGAGAGAAAGGTATGCCACTCCGGTTTGTTTACGTTGTACCCCCACTGGTCTTTCTGGGCTTAAAAACATGTTTATATTTTATTTCAATATAAAATGTCGGTTCACATTGACTCTACGTATATTTCTGTCTTAGTTCATGCTATCAGATTGACTCTGCATCTCGTAAGAATCCCACAATTAATCCTTAAAGAGCATTGCAGTCAGTGCGTTGAAAAATCCTTAGGTAAACGCTACAGAAGTACACCAAGAATGCATCACTTCTTACGATAACGTCCGAGAGAGTTTTGGCCTGACGTAATAATCTCTCTCGGGTGTTATCATAATAGGTAATATATTCTCTATGCACTTCTGTTGCGTTTCTCTCTTATAATGTATCGTGGGGTATTTTTGCGTGGAACGAATATTTTGGGGTTTTCACGATTTTTCCCTTTGGTACACATGATGAATAAGTGTAATAAATAAAATTTGTGAAAAAAAATCCCAACAAACATCGGGGTTGAACTGGGGGGGGGGGGGGTCCTGTCAACAAGTACCTGTGGACTAGGCTATATAGGGGCCTCAATATGTATTATGACCAAAAAAAAAAACAAACAAAAAAAAACAAAAAAAAAAAAAAAACAAAACAAAAAAAAACGAGTGTATTGGTCTGTAGAGACGACTATTAACGGTCATAGGAGGTGGATGGAATATACAGGCTGGTTAATTATAGAGTATGTATAGAATTATATATAGGGAATGGAAAGTAGTAATTAAAATGATTGACCAATGCTGGAAAATGGAGAAACACACCCCAGATCGTGCGCAGAAAAACTTGCACCGTAAATTGCATCTTATTTGCATCACCGGATCTTTAGCGTAATTGTCAATAACCAAAAAATATATATAAAAACATAACGCTATGTATATTCTATACAGCTACATGTAGGTCATTTTTGCATGGGAAAAAAGGGGGATTTGAGGAAAAATCTGAAGAACATCATTCAGGGACGTGTCAATACCTTCTGACCCTTTCGGGCCTCAAATCCCCCAGACATTAACTTCTGAATCCGCCACTGTCAGATCCAGTGACAGAGATGAGCCTTGTGACCCATGGGTTTCTTGCAGGAAATCAAGTCAGGACCTGTGTCTGAGTTGAATACAGTAAAATCTTTGTAGAAAGCAAAAAATAACACACACAAAATTACGCTTGTCAACAAAAACTTAAAAAAAAGATTTTACATTTGTTTACGTTTGATATCTGGCTAGTAACGCCTAGTACTACATGTAGCAGTGTGATCTAAATAAATAGGCATAAAGGGCAGTGCACACACAAAAAAAAAAAAAACAACAACAAACTTCATTCATTTTTATTAAACAATGGTACCAAATAAAACCGGATTGTTTTTTTCTATTTTAAAATTTTATTTTTCATTTTTTTATGACGAAATTACAAAATATACATACCATGAGCGGTAACTCCGTCTTTTCATTTGCGTGACCATGGCAACACCGTTCACCAAAATTAAAAACTGATACACAGAATTATGTATCTTAGCTATGTCTACTTGTGTGCCAAGTTATATTGATATCAGACCAAAACTGTGGGAGAAGTAGCATTTTGAAAGTATTTCCCAGAAACCTCTATTTTTAGTAACCATGGCAACACCGTTCATTGAAATCAAAATTCGATACACAGAATTATGTATCTTAGTGTAGTCTACTTATGTGCCAAGTTATGTTGAAATCAGACCAAAACTGTAAGAGGAGTAGCATTTTGAAAATTTTTTTACAAACGGACAGACAGACGGACGGACGACGGACACCTTACTATCGCATAAGCTCTTCTGGTCTCTGACCAGTAGAGCTAAATACTATGCAATTGAAAACAAAAGTAATGTAGGGTTTTTTTTTCCTTCCTTTTCATAGAATTTTGGTATGACGATCCCGATGTTTTACCTAACAGCATATTATATTAAAGTATCAGCAAGGAATTTTAAATTATCAACATATATAATGTTGGAGTATCAGCATATAATAAATGTTCTCCACATAAGGCAGCTGAGGCGTTCCATACACACTTCTCAAAGTCACGAAAGGTAATTTGTTCAGGAAATTTAACTACTTTTATTTGTCATGAAATATAACTTTAAAAACTAAGCATACAACAAGTTTTACTAACTACATAGCAGATGAAATGCTTGTTTGGTGAGGGGGGGGGGGGGGGGGGATAGGCTGTTCTGCTGGCCTGAAACTTTACATAGTTATCCAATTTTAGCAATGTTTTGCATGGTGATCTCAGAAAAAGGCTACTCCGTTGTTAAAGACAGCAAATTCTGCAAATACTGCATACACATATCTCACAGGAATTTCTCCATTCAAAGAAATCGGAGTCCAAACCAAATTACGGTAGACAGACATCTCGGCCCTTGACGTCTGACACCTCAGCCCTGACAGGTCGGCCCAAGATTATTGACACGTCAGCCCATGTAAAAGACACCTCGGCCCAAGCAAAATTTTATGATAGAAAAAAAATATCCAGTATCTGAATTGATATTATTATCAATGTAATTATTCTTTCTGACGGTTGAATGATTTTTTTAAAATAAAAGTAGGGGTCTATAATCTGATAATAGAAAATTGGTTCACTTCCCGAAGCAAATCAGATCAACACCTCTTTAACTAACATCTTTAACTAACATCTATCTCTTGTGGAAAATTCCCAATATATTCACTTAAGTGTAACATTCTTAAACATTCTTATGATCTTGAATTTCTATAAGAATTGACGGAATTTTATCGTAACATTTTGTATTGTTTCTCTGACGACCTGAAACATCTATGATGGGTTGATAATTTGTTAAAAGATATATATGGACTTCATTTGAACAGTAATTTGTTTGTAAACGCGAGAATTTAACAATTGCAGCTATATATTGCAGGAAAATTGAATAAACGAAGAAATCTTGCATTAACAAAAAAAAGGAAGGACATTTTATTGTTTATACTTATTTCAGATAAATAACCGTATAAAATAATACTTTATGTACGCATTATTGATCTGAATTTCATCGTTTGTTTCATCATGTTCATTGATTGAAAAACATAATTTGCTACAGATAGCTAAAAAAAAAAAAATAAACTAGTTTAGCGACGTAAAATGTAAGTGGAATTCTTATAAATGGATGTAAATGTTATGAATAACTGTCTCAGAATCAATTAACCCTGCTCGTAATTATTCCCTCATTGTCACCAATATGACACGCATTGCAGACTCCAAAGGATGCGCCGCAATATC